ATTATTATTTGTGTTGCGTTTGCTAGAGCAACCCCAATTGCCTTGTCCACTTCAAAGGTACTAACCTCAAGTATCATTAAGATAGGCTTACTCTAATGGTTCTTTGGGTACATTCTTACTTGTATAGCTCGCACTTCCAATTTTCAGAGTTCTTCCGATAACCTTCGCTTGTGTGCCACTTGCTTTGATGAGAACGGCTCTCTCATCTTGGATTTCACTTGGGTAATCCAAGGTTATGTATGTTTTTGGGAAGTGAGTAGATTCTTTTAATAGATTCCTCTTTCGAAAGACAACCTGCATGTCTAGGTCTACCTATGTCGAAGATCAGCTCTTTGCAGTTCTCGCTTGGGCATTCAGGAACATTCCTGAATGTTAAGTTTTCTCTTCGCGAGTACTCTTCCAGATGTAAAACCTTTTCTTTTTCCTTTAATTCTGCTCGTAGCATAACAATCCACCATAGGAAAAAAGATGACGGCTGTACATTTTATCACAATACCTTGCGAACCTAACACAGCCTACAAGGTGCAAAGAAAGCCAATATTTTACAATATTTGTCCCTGTACGAAGGACATTTTGTATGCTAGGTTTGAAGATTTTATAACTCTTCTGTACGTTTTTATGAACGTTGTTAAGGTTTTCGTATGCTAAGAACTATGGGTAAATGTACCAGTCGGTATCTTTTTTCCTACGTAGGATTTCTTTTACCTGAGAGGCCAGTGACAGCGACAACAACTTGTTGCTCTCCTCAAGAGATTCAATTTTGGATGAAGACATTTGTGGGGCCATTTCTAATTCAGACACAGTGTTTCTCAACACTTGGACTTCGGCCTTTAAATCCTGCTTGAAAATTTCCATTTCTTCTCTAAACTTCTTGAAGTTGTTGTCCATCTTTTCTCCGAGGGAAGTAAGAGTATCCATGATAGCGTTTAGAGTTACCTGCAAAAGAGTGTTGTCGTCTGATGTATCTATGTCCGCACTATTTACACATGGAAGCTTTGCGTTGACTGTTTGTGGAGCTTTAAGGCTGCTGGATCTCTTTTTTCTCTTCTTGTTTCCCATGTACCATGTTAACTGTCTACACTAACCAAGAAACAAGTAACTCTTCAAGCCAAAAACTGTTTCATGAGGAGGGAAATACGGGCTAAGGACGGAGCTCTAAAAAGTGCGTCCGTCCACCATACCGGTCACATCACCAATCGTTGGTAAGTTGGTGTTAGGCTGCATTGTACTTACTGTTATGTAAATCTAATTTCACTGAGAAACTAGGAACAGATGCTTTTGTTTTGCAAAACCATGTTGGAAACACAACGGTATCAAGTTGGAGACATTGCCAAACAAAGATCACAATGAACTGAAACTAACAAATTTTTTTGTGCCATTACATATAGACGCTTATATTATTTATACACAGTTTGGTCGCATGTAGCGTGCCAACCTTATTTTGTGTATTAGTGAGTGCAATCCTTAGGGTTTGGAATAGCTTTTCTCTGGTTGTTTTGTGCCACATTACTAGCCCTGCATACTGTATTATTGAGTAAAGCGTTGCTTTATCTTGTTGATTTTCTGAGAATTTTCTGCATTCATTATAAACTCAGATGACGAGACTTCAGTTCTAACTTTTTAACCCCTAGTAGGAACTAACATTATGTTATGTTCTTTTTTTCTTCATGAAGACATCTGTTGAGCCTGATTCCAAACAACTAGAGCAGTGTATTTTTCCTCGAATGTTTATTAGGGACAGATTGTTATTTTTTAGGGGGGAGGGGGGCTGGACAATTTCCAAAAAAAAATCCTGCACAGCAAAAACTGAAAAAAAATTGTGCAAGGGGAGCCACAGGGAAAAAAATCAAGCAAGTGCTTCTACTATCATTACTTTGATTTTTTTATGTTTGCCCACCCAAAAAATTATGCACAACCGAAATGCGAGAAAAAAAATTTCTTGCCCAAAAAATTCCCAACCCTTACCTCTCCCTTAGAAGAAAATAAGGGTATAAGGGTCTGTCAGCTTGTGATGTAAATAATAACAGCATATCTCATTGTGCAATCTGTTTCTCACTGGGTGGCATTGAAGAACAATTGAATTTTGACAGATATGATTGTAAAGTAAATTTACTTAGTGAATAGCTCACTGCGTGACCGAGCTCTTTTAAACAACAGAAATGTGAATTCTTAACTGCGTATTGCATGACATTACCCCAGAAATGGTATTTGGGGTGGAGAGGAACTCCCTTTTGAAAGAGATGGGGATGCTCATCATCTCGCTCAGGGCGTAAACTGCGCATATTTGTGTCCACTTCAGCTGGAATTGTTTGGTTTAAGACAATAATTTGACCCCAAATACAAACTAACTTGACACCAACTTACTGAGACATAATACAAATATCGAAATCTGGCCCGAAACCTGACATCTGATTTAGCCAAGAATACAACACAAACAGCAGCATTAAACATTGTGATAAACATTGTATTCAAATTCATTCTCAATCAAGCTACGATGCCTAAGAACAAGAGTTAATATGATTCTGATTTGATTAAGTTTGACTTGATTTCCAGGGAAATAAGTTGCATGTTGAAAATTGATACTTTAAATTTTGGAGTTTGAAGTTGGAAGTCTGAGGTCGGAAGTCAGAAGTCGGAACTCACAAGTCGAAAGTCAGAACTCAGAAGTCAGAAGTGGGAACTCAGAAGTCAGAAGTCAGAAGTCGGAAGTAGAAGCCAGAACTCAGAAGTCAGTGGTCGGAACTCAGAAGTCGGATGTCGGAAGTCGGAAGTCCCTCCTCAGCTTTCGTACAAAACAGTAGAATTCATCACTTAAGTCCGGAATATCTTTGATCTTATGTTGAATTTATCTAATATTAACCTGAAGGAAAGTGTTGGTTACTATAAAAGGTCTGCCAAGCTTCCTTTTCTTATTAACCCAGCACTTAGCCCAGACATTGTATGAACTTGAAGACAATTATTTTTAGTCATGCTGATTAATGAGTCCCTTCTGTAAGAAGCCAATATTTATTTAAAGAGATCAGTTCATGATGATACATGTATGTGGTTCGACAGTTGCCAATATATATCATTATATGACGTAATCCCATAGTGCCCCTGTATGAGCACATGGTCCCATGATCCCCTGCATCTTTTTCTGCTGTGCTTTGAAACCGCATTCAGAACACAATGGCAAATTGAAAAAGGTCACGCCGCTTGCATTCAACTTCCCACGATATCGATTGATCGCCAATCGAAAGCCTTGCAAATATTAATAAAGAGAAAATAAGTCTGGCTGATCAACCACTGCCTGATGCCAAATGTCTTTTGTTTGGAGAGGACTTCTCCTCTGTTGCTTCCAAGCAGGTAGAACTTTGTCATGGCCTAGCTAAGAACTTATCAAATGCCCAAAAATCCAAACAAACCACAGGTAACTTCTCTAAGTAACAGACAAACCAACCAAAAAACTATCGGTTCTTTTGCCCCAACAAGGGCTCCTCAAACCAAGACTCAACAGCTACTTAGAGAGGTGGAAGGAAATCACTTCAGACCCCAAAATCTTACATGTTGTGTCGGGTTATCAAATCCCTTTCCACTCTGTTCCTGGTCAGTTACATGTTCTAGTTACAAAATGTTCAGATTTAACAGTTCCCCTTGTAGATGCAGACGTGAACAAACTCCTGTCATTAGGGGAAATAAAAGCAATACCTTTTCAAAAGAACACTCCTACAGCAGACTGTTCCTGGTCCCGAAAAAGGAGGGAACTTGCTGCCCTGTAATCGACCTTAACCAGCTCAACAAGTTTGTAGAGAACTTCCATTTTCAAATGGAGAACATTTCTTGTCTGAAGACGCTTCTAAGAAGGGGAGACTTAATGGCATGAATAGACCTAAAGGATGCATATCTCTCCATCCACATACACAAGTCCTCACAAAAGTACCTGTGTTTCCAATGGAGAAACAGTTGTTATGCCTTCCAAGGCCTACCATTTGTGCTAAATACAGCTCCCAGGGTATTTACAAAGCTAATAAAACCCATAGCAGCTTACTTGCGGAAAAGAGGTATTCAAATAATCGTCTACCTATACAACATCCTAATCCTGGGCTCCTCCATAGAAGAGTCAGAAGCAAACACTTAACTAACACTAGACCTTCTGCAGTGGCTAGGTTTCACCATAAATTGGCAGAAGTCCGTCTTACTCCCCACTCAGTCCCCACTCAGTCATTGACATTTCTGGTCCTCTCCATAGATTCACAGACAATGTCGCTCAGCCTCCCAGAGAAAAAGGTCCTGAACATACAGAACAAATGTCAGTCTCATTCTCAATCCCACTCCATCAGCTTGCGAAGTGGCAAGCCTCATAAGGACATTGGAAGCAGCCCACCCTGCCATCTGGCAGGCCCCCCTACACTGCAGACTAATACAAATACAGCTCAAAAAATCCCTACAGGCTTCTCGAGACAATCACAAGACACTTACGTCCTTAAACAGGAATGCTCACACCGGACTTCAGCGGTGGCTCCAGAACATAGCAACCGTAAACGGCAGTACCATCAATCCTCCTGCCCCCAAGCTGTACATAATCTCAGACGCCTCCAAAGCGGGCTGAAGTGGGAAATACATGAGTCCAACTCCTCAAACCTAGTCTCTGCTCTCCTCACACAGTGTCAAAAAGATGCAGAGAATCATGGGACCATGTGCTTTTACAGGAGCACTATGGGATTACGTCATTCTTTTACCTGTCCCTACCAGGGACAGGCTTTTTTTTATGTGTTAAAAAGTGGTTCGAAGCACAAATGAGCAGAAGTGTACCTGATGCTTTCTCCTATATTTCTCACTTCGTTTGTCTATGTAATTTTGATTATACTGACAGGCCACTTTGCGGCCTTGGTATAACTGGGATTATCTGCCGCCTTATGCCACCCTACTTTTGATAAACAGATACCTAACAGTGAACACGTAAATTAAAATTCAACCATAAGTACATACTAACATTTTGCATGTTTGTTAATCTTTCAGCTTTTCAGAGTGCCAAATTTAGTAATGGAACTGTACCTGAACTATGATTGTGATGTTTACAGTACTAATGTATTTGAGGAACTCTGCAAACTTCTTTCCAAGGTGCAGAGGTGTTTTTCTTCTTCAATCTGTATCTATTCAGTTATTTATTTCATGAGTATTTTATGGCCAATAGATGTAATTACATACTTAGCAGTTTCATAGGAGGGCTGTCATTATCACATCTAGCACATATGATTAATCATTATGGTCATAACAATGACATTATTTGCATTGCTTTATTTTTTTGTTTTTTTTTTGTTTTTTGTTTTTTTTTTCATAGAATGCCTTCCCTGCGGCTGGAAGTCTTTATAGTGTCCATATTCTTGCTCTTGATGCTCTTCTTGCTGTAGTTCAGAGTATTGAAGAACACTGCCATTCTCAGTTGTTAAACACAATAGAAAAGGCAATAGATGAAAATATTCCTAACAAACTTCAAAAGAAAAAGACAGGTACGAGATATTAGTGTTGGAACCCTTCCTTATTTAGCTCAGTTGTGTCAATGTCAGTTTTGGCAAATCCTTGTCTAAGGATCTGAATTGCAGTTTTTATTATCCAATCAGATGTAGCACTAATTGTTATGTCAACTTTTCACCATGAGAATACTATATTGTGTGGCTTTGAGCATTGGAACACACTAAAATTAATGGGGAATAAACCTTCGTAGGAAAAAAAGATGGCGACTGGTACATTTACCCATAATTCTCTGCACGTGAACTTTAACAATGTTCATAAAAACGTACAGAAAAGTTCTAAAACTTTCAAACCTAGCATACACAATGTCGTTAGCACAGAAACAAATATTGCTAAAATATAGCTTTCTTTGTACTTTATAGACCGTGTTAGGTTCGCATGGTGTTTTAGTAAAATGTGCAGCTGCCATCTTTTTTCCTACAGAGGATTCTGCTCACCTGAGAAAGTGACATACTGTACTTAATGTAAAGGTTCTATTTTCATGATAAATTAGACTCACTCAGAATACAGTCGAGGTTAACACTAATGAGGTAATCATGATAGAAATAAACAAGTAGGATTTCCAGGAAACAAAGGTTGCTTCATTAGTGCAGTGTAAGTCACAAATTGGTGAACAGTTGATAATACCCAATCAGAATGAGCCCAGAGGTTGCCGAGTCAGTTTACTGCTATCAGATGTCTTGCGTATTATCATGCCTGCTCAAGTCTAAACATTTCTTCAAGAATAGATCATGACCAAAAGTCCTGATTGTAGGCTTCTTAGTTCCCAGTATTGTTAGCCGGTGAAGTTTGTATCAGCTGCTTGTTGTTTTGCTGATGGGAACCAAGACTGAGGAGTCTAACTTACTTGAAACAAAACTCATAAGTTACTTTAATACAATGTAGGTGGCGACGTAAGTTCATGAGGAAGAGGTGAACTGGGGTACTCATTCACAGTCCTCAATTTACTCCTACTGAACATACATATAAAGTTATATTGTTCCTGGAGTCCTGCTGCTCTTGACCATTAATTAAGAAATAGAAACATATACCGTGTTTCTATCGAGTTATAGAAACACGAGTGGAAGTTTGGGAGAACGAGAAATGCTGTGGGAACACAAGCCGCAGGCGAGTGTTTCCACAGCTGGAATGATCCCCAAATTGGACCGCAAATGATCCCCAATGTGGACCGCAAATGATCCCAAACCGCAAATGATCCCCGATGTGCACCGCAAATGATCCCGAACCGCAAATGATCCCCGATGTGGACCGCAAATGATCCCGCCGGAAAAGGAGGAATGGCATGGAGTTTGTTCCTCGGGTTGAGGATTCAATTTTTAACATTAACAGAAACAAGTCATAACTGACCATATTCTATATAGATATACTGAATTCCCATTTTAAAGAGTTCTTCAGATAAATGACCTTAGCGCCAGCCCCCCACACCTAAAGACGGCAATTGTTTGTTCCACGCAATGAGTGACCAGCTTACGCGAGTCGGACAGGCTCCCCAAACGGCATCACAGCTCCGTGCTGGCCTGGTTAGCTACCTCAGAAGTAGCCCCAACACCCCTGATGGTATTCACTACCGTGAATTTATTAATCATGGAGGCTGGGATAGTTACCTGAGACGGATGTCAATGGATGGCAAAAGGGGTGATTGGATTGCACTATGGGGACTAACTAATATGCTAAATATTCCCGTGGCATTGGTATCTAGCCTGGGAGAGGCAGGATTGCAAATTATTAACCCTAATGCTTGCGAAGAGGAAACTGGCGACTTCGGAGAGTTCAGCTTTGCAAAGCAGAAGTCCACTTCCACAGCCTTGAGCCGGCTAGTGGTACTGCCAATCCAAAGAACGTTGTTTCTGAATTAAAAGAAAGGTATGGCGAAGGGAAAGTCACCGAGGAGATCTGTCCAAACTGTGGTAAAAAATTCCTATGCTTTTCACGGGGGGTTTTTGAGGGTGCGAATGGTATGCTGCGAGTTTACTCTGATGACAACGCGTTTTGCGACAATTGTCAAAAATACAAGTTTGATTAGATGCTGGAATGGACCTGACCTGCTCGGACTTTGCATGGACGTGGATTTATCCGTGATAAGGATCTTCTGTTGTGGTTAAAATTGTAATGAACTGTTATGACATTCCGTTGTGGTTGTTCCGTTGTTGTTAGCGAGCCTTCTTCGGTGATTTTATCCACGAAATAAAATTAGCATGAAAATTATATTTAAATCGAATATTATGTACAATTCGTTTCTGAGTGCTGTTAAATATTCACGAACAATTGGTATAGGCTGAGTCGAATTTTAGATTCATTTTGGCGTTACTTCTCGTATTGTTAGGCATTTTGAGTGAATTATTTAACATAGAAATGCGTCCAAATAAAATCAACACAAGTTGTTTATGTCTTAGTTTTGGTAGCATTAAGCTATTATTGTTGTAGATCGACCTTGTTGAGAAATGGTATTTCTGTTTACGAGCTTTGATTTTTTCCCGTAATTTTTCAGAAGAAATGTCAAGAGAAAATGAAGTGGAATTGTTATGAGAATGATATTTAAATTACAGTTCACGTTGTCAGTATATCTTTTCTTTAATTTGATCTAATTTATCATTTAGTTGATGTAAATAAATAAATGAAGGAAAAAAAATTAAAAAATCCAGGAAACAAGACTCCATGCCATTCCTCGTTTTCCGGCGGGATCATCGGCGGTCCACATCAGGGATTATTTGCGGTCCAGTTTGGCGATCATTTCCAGTCTGGGGATCATTTGCGGTCAGGGATCATTTGCGGCGCTGTACATTCTCCCAAACTTTCACGAGTGTTTCTATAACTCGATAGAAACACAGAGAACATGTTTCCTATTTCTTTTAGAAAACACCGCGACGAAAAAAAGGAAAACTCCTTGTTAACTTTGATTATCAAAATGTAAATTCTTTTTGCTCGCGCCATCATTACGTCAACAGCTCGCGCTAGTTCTGTGTTTCTATCGAGTTATAGAAACACGATTTTTAACCAATCAGTGCGCAAATTTTCTTAGGACTATTTTCTAAATAAATACATTGTTTGGTTGCATATGTAAGCTGACGGTAAGTGTGAAAAATTCATCTTTGTAGGTGATGACGACTCAGGGACAGATGAAAACTGTGATTCACCACCTTTGTCTCCACCCTCCCCACCCACCTCAGGCTTTGCTATGGCCAAGAAAATGGCAGTGGGTGTGGCTTCAGAGGAGAGTGAAGAGATTACACAGAAGTATAGTGACAGTGATAAAGTACTTCAATCTCGTGTTGGTCTTGTGTTCTCTTCTGACCTTCCAACAGCTGACACCCTAGCTAAACTGAGGCAGAGAAAAAAGGTATTCGTACCATATCAGCTCTTTACACACCAATTAATGGTTATTCAGAATTAAAAGTTAGCCAAGGGTTATTTCTCCTGTTTCAGGTGATATTTGTGGTCAATTTTAAATGACAGTTTGGGATTAGCTTAATCCTAATTTGGAGAACTAAACGGATACAACAGCTCATTATTAGTGACTTACGAAAGTAAATTTCTAGTTGATGCTGAACGATGTCAGATATGGTGGCCTGAGGATAGTACAATAGTGTATTGAGGCTGTCACAAAGTATTTGCAGTTTACCGATATCCTTACAATGGTTATTACACCCTTGTGCTGTGTTTCCTGTTAGATGTTTGACACTGTGAAAAAGTGGAACAAAGAACATGGGATGGGAGGCAAACCAGGGGTGGGGGAGAACAATCTACAATGCCTGGCACTTTTTGTGTATCTTGATCATCCGACGAAAAATGATGTCACATCCAGTAAAAAAAGCGGGCTGAACGGCAAAATTAAATTGAATATGGCATAATCGTTCTCTCAGTAAGTAAAATGGCGATATTTTGCGATCGGCCGGATATTTTAAACGCTTTATTTGGCCACGATAAACAAAATTTTGTCTTCTTCCTCGTCATATCAGTTTGTTTGAAGAACAGAGCAACTATTTATTCAAAAACACGCTGTTTTGAAGACGTGTTTTTTACGATATGTCGTCATTTCGTTGTCCCTGAATTCCACAGCAGTCATCGTCACCTAATAAACCCCAGTATAAAGCCTAACTGCAAGCAACCTAAGCTAATTTAGGCTAACTGGAACGCTATTCAGGCTAACCGAAATACTAAGTAGACTCACTCAGGCTTAAAAGTTGATTTTTCAACCTGCAACCTCCAACCTGCAAAACATACCTGCCCCTTGAGAGCTGTTAATCGTATTACTGCAAGAATAGACTCGCACACATAATGCGCTTTGTGGAACTTTCTTACGGATCGACACTATCACAAATTCATGTTTTTGCTCATGACTCAAACTGATGTCATAAAATATGTTACGATAGGTTAAGAACCTTAGGCAAGATATGTTTTCCCTAAGCAATCCCTTAATTGATAAACGCTTCGTTACGGGCAGGCCATGAACCCCTTAACTAAAAAGAGCAAGAGGATACTTTTAACTGCGATTCAGTAATGTGGACATGGCGTGGTTTTTTTCTCAGTTGTAATCAAATTTATTTTTTCCGTTTCAACGGTGTTAAATGTTAGCAACATTAAGTTGCAATACCGCCTGCCCCCCCCCCCCGATCCCGTGAGGTCAACATGCACCTTTTATTTCTTCAAACCCTCTCGTTTTCTTGTTTGCACAACAAGTTCGTTATCTTTTAATCCCTGTCATTTTGAAAGGTTACTCATACATTTTGCATTATCTTTCAGTGTGCTTTCTCTATATAATCTTACATCAAGACTTTTTAATCCCTAAGGGAATGAGAGAACACTAGCAATTCTGACAATTCTCTCTTATAGAGTTTAATTTTAATTTATCACACTAAACTTTCTATGTGCCATTTTAACAAACTGTTTGTAAACAGTAGTGAAATTTCATGGCCCTACACCTAGCCATAAAAGGAAGCAACAGCAACAGTGCTACTGTCAGGCTGGTGAATTTTACAACCTAATGAACTCATGTCTGACAATGATGAGTGATTGTGAAGCATGGTGAAGTAGAACTAAAGAATCAGACTGTGCGTGACATTGTTAGTGTTAGTGTTGTGAGAGTGATGCTAGTGTCTGTGAACTCGGACCAGATTAGCAAAGAAAAGGTTCTGTACTAGAAGTGGACAGAGAGCAACAAGTTTGTGCTCAAACACTGAAAAAGCTGGCTCATACCTGTCTTAAAGCAGCTTCATCACTACTTGTCAAGAGTTCCTGACTTGTGTGTGTGGAAAGACTCCCTGTAATGACCTATATGGGGAGGCTCAGCTCAAACTAGGTACCTTTTTCAGGCTTCAGGTACACATGTAAAATGATAGGGATTTCACATGTATGAAAAGGTAGGGAAATCTGTCATTTAGGGATTTCCATTTTTCTGGTTCTAAAATGTTGTTGAAAAGCTCTCATTTACTCTCCAGCCAGAATGAGAGGATTCTGTAATATTGTTTATTAACTTCTTTTCAAGGGAATAGAAAAGGGATGCAGTATTCTTAAATAGGTTTGTAGAGGGGTACATGTACCCTTTTGCAATGAAAGGTCTACAGAAGAGGTGCCTAATTTCTATCAANCCCCCCTCCTTGTGTAACAAAGATGTTCAAATTATTGTGCCAAGGGATTGAGTTTCCAATTGTATCTTGAATTAAAGGTCAAATGAACCAAAATTTAGACCTCTTTTCTTCAGCCATTTTATGGCCACGAAATGTAAAAGGAAACTTATGCAAAAATTTTTTTTTCTGAGCCGTGAAAAGGAGTCAAAATGTTAAAAGTACGAAGATAGCCGATGGCTTCACGAAAACATTTCCAAAATGAACGCGCACTTTAATGGAAGGAGTGGAACTGAGACTCTGCTTGTGACGTCATCGTTGTCTTGAACATTGCTGCGTTTCTGTAGTAACTGCTAGGAAAATGTGTTTGGTACATCCCAGAAAAACTGGGTGGGGGTGTGCTGCCCACTTCTCAAAACCCTTACCCTATTTATGACCAAAATCTGCGATTTTCCCTACCCCATTTATGACCGTTGCAATTGCTACATTTGCCTAAACATAATTTGTGAAGGGCCTTTTATGGATGGTTTTATCGATAATGATGAAAATTTAACTAGCTTCTTTTCTTCTAAAAAACATACCAATTTGAAGACTAGAGTGCAAAAACCTTAACCTACAGTATTTATGACCAAAACGGCTGAAAAACCATACCCTTTGGGGCCGCACATACCTATATATAGCCAATATAAGAGTCGTACCCCCCCCCCCCCC